CTGAAGAGCAGTCTAGGTTTTGCAGCAAGAATGACAGAGAGGTGTCAATGGTGCTTGGATTTAGTTTGCTTATTAACTAAGGAATTAACACTGATCTCATTCTCCATTTAACTTAGAAGCTCTTCAGGGACAGGGGTCTTTTGCAGGTCAACTTAAAGGGATGACTCTGGGCTTGACAGTAACTAGTGAGTGAGGTTTTGATGCACTATGCCCCGATACCCTTTCTTGTGTGAGTGCATTTTTCCAGTTACCTATGACTTGGTTTACAGGGTTTCCAGCAGGCTAAGCCAGTCTTTACCATGAAAAAATAGCTAGTTGTGCAAACTGGGAGGATGTACTTGGACGCCCTTGGCTAAATTAGCCATGTTCGGCTCCAACTGGTTTCTCCTTGTGGTTTTGTTGTGGAGGTTTTGTTGTTGCATTTTTTTCCATTTACTAGATCAGATGCAAACTTCTGTGAATGCATGGCCTGAATTCAGGATCTCATATTTGGTGTTTCTGCATTACCCTTCTCAGCCCTTCACACAACAATCATACCGTTCTTCTGCTATCTAGAGCAACTCAGGTTCTCTTTGTCTCTGGATAATGGAAAATTGACTATATATTGCACCTACAGAGTGCTTGTTTCTTTCTGTGTAACTGTATAAACATCACTGCTGAGAATGAGCTGCTGTGGAAGACCTATTTCTGGAGAGGATGGAAGGGAGATTTCTGTTGTGTGCTGAGCTACTCTGCAAACTTCAGGGCATGGCACAAGATCATATCTGTTAGTGGCATCCTGCCTGAAAGTGAAACTTAGAAACTATTAATTAATACAACATGAAGTGCAGCTTGCAGAGGAGGGTGGACATTGCAAGAGAACAGAGCAGAAAGGTAACAGACTGGTGAGACTGAACAGTATCAGTCAGAAAACTTCTAAGCACTGTCTGGAAATTTGTATATGCACACACTGATTGACCGATGCTGCTATTGTGTGAAGACAGATGAAAGAATAAACAGATGACTAACTAGGTGGTGGACAACAGCTAGACTAGTGAGTGTCAGAAATGATTAACTAGGCAGATAAATATGGCTGAAGGAAGTGTTTATTTCACTATATGTGCTGAGGAGGTGGCCAGTAAAGTTGGTTAGGTTATTCCGATAAGAATCTTGCATTGCCATGTTCTCAGGTCTTAATTCAGCATATGTGCATACGAGTGCACCATTTTGCAAAGCATAGTGTCAGAGTGTAATACTGTGAATTAAGGCAAACTTACATTTGGAGCTGGAACCAAACTTACAGTTTCTCCAGGTATGTCTGGATTCTCAAATGTGATTCCTCTTGGAAGTACTTCTTTCATTTTGCAAGTCATTTTGCCTATTTAGTCACTCCACAATATGTTAGAAATAGGGCTATAAATTTTCGGTTAGTATAAGAGATTTCATGGCTGCATATATATTTTCCCCTCCCTATTCTTGATGATGAACTATCCATAGCAGAAGTTTTACATATGCAAGAGGATTTTTCTGGGAAAGGCAACAGGAAGTGGGCCCCTAGATCAAAAATCCTCATGTAGAGGAGGAGCAAAGGGAAATGGTGAAAGACAGCATAGGCCAGCAAATTGCAGAGTAGTGAGACTAGTCTCATAAACCTGTAGCAGATACAAAGGACTTTTCTAGTATGTGAATACTAATATTTTAAGATAACAAGACTCCTAATTGTATGCAGATGCATAATGTAAGCATATATTGGGTCTGTGATTTGGCGAGCCTTAATAAAGCTGTTTTATGAGTTTCCATCATATTGTGAAGCATTATATAAATACAGTGTGACAAGTCTTAAAAGCTAGGGGTGGAATAGATACCCAGGCAGAGGGGAAAGAATTAAAGAAGTAAAAATTAATTTTGTGGAATGATGGAAAGTTGACACTGACTACAAAATAATTTTCTCTGAACAAAAAAGCATGAAAAAAATTATCTTTGACAGTTGCTACCACAAATGTCTGAAAAAAAATCCCCCCAAAACCTCACACTTCTCTTGTCTGAAACTCCTTGAAAAAAAGGATAGCAAGACAGATCCTGAGATACCAATATTTTTTGTAAATGTATCAATTTTTCCAAATTTCTTAAGAATAGTTTTAGGAGCATTTACTATATAAATGCTTTGAGTTTACTCTTGAAAAGTAATGTTTCCATTTCTTAAATTGGTAGTTATTGTTAAAATAATTTCAAAATAACTGTGTTCTGAAAGTTAAAAAGCACAGTCATATAAAGAAACTATTAATTCTGAAAACCTTTGGGGAAATTCATCATATTTCAAATGTCCGTCCATACCCTGTTCAAAAATTTCTGAGAAAAATAAAAATCTCAAGTTTGTATGGAGCTATCAGCAAGCTAAAGGAGCTATAAATCAAGGCTCTGCCTGAGTTCATTAACACATCCCCAGATTTACCATTATGATAATGACTGCATGCAACTGCTCCAGATCTTTCTCTGTTCACACTGTAGAACCTAAGAGCTTCCCAAATGCATACTGAAAACTCAGTGTTTAATGGCAGAATAAGCAATGGTCTCCCTGCCACAAAGAAATTGCATACCAAAAAGTTTGCTTTCTGCTTAAAAACTAAATGGTAAATTTGCTCTGGAATGGCTCCTGACTAATTCAGATGGCAAATCCAAGAGAATGGGATGATGGAGTTTGTACTATGTCATTGATCACTAGGTGAGCTGTGAAGTAACTAATTTTCGAGAGAGGGACCTGACTGACAGGCTAAATAAATGAGGAATGAGATGAAGAATAGAACTTGTGATGCAGGCAGCTTTCTGGAAGCAACAGGATAAATATGATGGATGAGAATATTAAGGAACATTTGGGAGTTTGAAAGATGCAAAACACCACAGGAAAAGAAAGTCAATTGGAAGAAAAGTCCTAGATAGATGGATCTGTCTAATCGTAGAGAAGAATAGGATTTCTTTTGGTGGAGTATTTAACTGTTGAAGGTTTCATTCAATACCACTCTGGATATTGTAGAGGCCTGTGCTATTGTGTGACTATGGAAGTAGTTACAAACTCACATTTGGATCTGGGACAAGACTTTTGGTCTCACCAGGTACATTTTTCCTTATTTTTTGCCTAATTTGCAAGATTGTTGTGGATACACACCAAGATCTGGGAAATGGCAGCTGTAAAGACATAGTAGCCTGAGGTCTCACTTTAACCAGTGGAATTTGTTCCACAGCAGCTGTCCTAGCAGTCTTACTTGAGGCAGCTGCGGGCAGGCATGTGTTTTCAGTGCTCTTCCATCAACTGCATTCCTGTGCTAAACTAAGACAAACCTTGTTTTTGTTATTCTGTCAAGTAAGTCATGTGGATCTGTTCTCTCCTAAGAGTAAATCCATGCCACTTCCACTGGCCCCAAGCAAAGCCATAGATGACATATTAGATGCAAATTCACTGAAATATGAGAATGGCTATAATATTTATATTGCTGTACATGAGCCGCCAATGTGTGCTCACAGCCCAGAAGGTCAGTTGTATCCTGGGCTGCATCGAAAGCAGCATGGCCAGCAGGTTGTGGGAGGGGATTCTGACCTTCTACTTGGCTCTGGTGAGACCCCACCTGCAGTACTGCATCCAGCTCTGTAGCCCTCAGTACTGGAAAGACATGGACCTGTTGGAATGAGTGGTTCACAGGAGGGCCACAAAAATGATCAGAAGGATGGAACCCCTCTCCTGTGAGGAAAATATTGGAGAGTTGGGGTTCTTTTGCCTGAAGAAGGCTCTGGGGAGGCCTTATTGTGGCCTTTCAATAAAGGGGGCTTATAAGAAAGTCGGGGACAGACATTTTAGAAGGGCCTATTGCAATAGGACAAAGGGTAATAGTTTTAAACAAAAAAAGGGCAGATTCAGACTAGAAATAAAGAAGAAATTGTTTCAATAAGGGTGGTGAAACACTGGAACAAGTTTCCCAGAGAGGTGGTAGATACCCATCCCTAGAACATTCAAGGTCAGGTTGGACAGGGCTCTGAGCAACCTGGTCTAGTTGAAGATGTCCCTGCTCATTGCAAGGGGGTTGGACTAAATGACCTTTAAAGGTCCCTTCCAACCCAAACCATTCTATGATTCCATGATTCTACTATTTAGAAAATACGCATTTCTGATCGTTATCACCATTTTAGCTGGTCTGTGTTTATAGCAGAATCCCACCAAGGAACAGTATACTTATAACATTTTTATATTAGGGTTGGAATGGGAATTGAAATGCCTTTTAGCTGGTTTGTCTGATGTACAGACACTGCTTTATTCACAAATATTGCACGAGGATTCTGTTCACAACTGGGACTTGAATCCAGATTTGCCAAGCTGTCGCAGCTACAAGGCCATCCTTAATGCTTACTCCTGCTACCGCATATCTAAGTAAGTGAGAGTATATAAATCCTGAAATAACAGAGTTAGAAGGCTCAGATTGCCTTTGCAACTGCTCTCTGAAGATCTAGACAGGGTCACCATGTGCCACTGAAACCTGTAAGGAGATAACTGTAACCAAGGTCAGAGATCTTCTTGCAAAGGTTTCCTGGGTTGTGTGAATTATGTGGGTGGAGAAGGATATAAGCTTTAGGAAAAGGAACCTTGGTGGTGATCAAGCCAGGTGGGTAGTAAATGGTGAAACATTCTGAAGAAAACTTGGACTGAAAGTCAGTGGCCCTAACTACATGGCACAGTGAACAGGAATTTTATGTGATGTTACAGATTGAAAAACAGATTGTTCCTAGTATTTCCCTAAAAGGTGTAATACATAATTGTAAAAAATCAACTAATGAATATTTTTTAGTTATATCTCCCTGTCTGATCCTGACAATTTTCTAGTAGATTTCTTTTGTACTTTGATGGTGACTTAAATCAATGTGTTTTGTCATTGTTCCCTTAAGTTATTCCCCATTCTGAAATGTCTGTTGATCTGGTTGTCACTATTCATTGGGAAAACCTGTCTACATTTCTGTAGAGGTTGACCATATTATGACAATCAGGGATATGTGAAACTTGCATTTGGAACTGGAACCCAACTTCTTGTTATCCCAAGTAAGTTTGAGCTTTCTGTTCTGTATTAACACCAAGATTGTCAAATCATTTGTTCATTGGGTAGATGGACTAGGGACTTACATGGAAACGTGTTCCAACTTATTTTCAGCTTCCCTTAACAAAAAACAGTTGCAATAGAGATGCTGTCTTGGAATTCAAGGTGTGCTTCACTATGGTATGGCAGTGACTCACTGCAGGAGAGAAGAGCTAGAGAAAATGGTAATGTTCACACAAGCGTAATAGTCACAGCATGGTGCAGTCACACATAGAATGCTGCAAGAAGTTCACACATGGCTGAAAGCTACATAAAATGTTTAGCAGTTTTATTGAGTTTCTGGCTATTAAAGTTTTCTGGATTGATTTTTTCATCTTTAAAATAATATCTAGAAGTTATTCTGACTAATGTTTTAGAGATTGGATTTTCTAACTCTTAACCTAAGAGAATACATCATGATTTTTTGGTTTTAAAATCCAGAAGTAAAATCCCCTTCCATATTTGTAAAAACTGATGTTACAGTGTGAGCAGTCAGGAACTAGAAAAATTGTATTTGGAAGGGGAACCAAACTCGTTGTCATGCATGGTAACTCTCTTTCCTTTCCTCAGTTATGTTTTTAAATGCTTCAGAAACCTGAAAAGGTGGAATGAATATCCAAATAACTTGTGTATCATTCTCTAGTAGACATTTCCCACATACTTTGAATGAGTAGACATTGGAACATGCAGCTGGTAGGCAGGAATTTATTGCAAAGGCTTCTTATTGAGTGAGAAACTAAAAGATACAGTAAATTTGTGTTTGGAAGAGGGACTAGATTTAAAATCAACCTGGGTGAGTAAGATTTGGAGAAGGACAGGCTATGAAGGTGTGAAGGCAGGAGCAGTGTCCACTGGTTAGTGTTTCTGAATAGGTCTTCCTTCATGGATAATGAACATAAACTCTAGATGAAGACTGAAGGCTGAAAGAAAATTAACCCAGGATTGTTTCTCAACAGGGTGCTTGTGAAGATGGAGCAGGGGGATTTGGAATAGTGGGTCTTAGATTATGTCTTAATTATGTCTTAGATTAATGATGTTGGCATGTCATTAACATTAACTTCTGAGTCTTGTCAGACAGTAATAGTGTTTTGCATTAGACTAAGGGAAAATAAAATCAGAGATACCTCTGCATTCATGTTTAAGTCTTAGTTTCACACTGCATTGTGAAGGAATTTCCCAGGTGACTTAGACTATAGTATTTTCAATGATTTAAACTGAGGTGCATAGGATACTGGAGTTAGGAGAGTAATTTTTGAAAATGGCACAAAGCTATGATCCCAAATAAGTCATTTAATTAAATGTACCCATTAAATAGCTTGATTGGGAAAGGATATCATTTTGGTGTGAAACAGACATCTACATCTGAGGCAATTCCACAAGTGTAAGATCAAAAGTTCTTCTGACTTTTTGCTATCGACATAAAAATGATCTTCCACCTGTTTCTAGAAAGGGATTTTAGGTGGATTCTTTTGAATTATTTTTTTTTCTTACTCATTAAACAAATGTGATTTTTTTGACTGGCACTACATGAATAGTTAATCTCTTAATTCAGAAAGTTTCCTCTTTTGAGTTGAAATTATTTGAATGGAGGGTTGGACTAGATGACCTTTAAAAGTCCCTTCCAACCCAAACTATTCTATGATTTTATGATTTTTTTTCTAGAAACTAAATCTCTGGCATATAAAATTGAAAACTTGTTCTGGCAATTAAAACACACTCTGATTTTGGAAGAAAAAGCAGGCAAAAGTATTTTGTCACAATGACAGAGGTTCTCAAGAGGTTCATAAGTAGTCACTTCAAGTCTTTTTGTTTTCAGACAATTTTTACACAGATGGGTTAATCCATCTCATTCACCTGTTAGCTTTAAAGAGTGGATTAGATAAGCAGAATTTCTCCTTCTGACCCCAAAAAACTTTCCTTAGCATTGTTGAAAGGAGCAGCTGGTGAGATCACAGTAAATCTCTCCCACAGTTCAGGTGATGCATGAATAAAACTCTGTATGAACACAAGTAGGGTATTGCTTCACAATACGAAATTTAAGAAAACTTCATCCCAACTTTTCCTTAATGTGAACACATGTTACAAGCCCAGGATTTATCCTGTGTTGTTACTAGAGAACTATTTAGTCCATTGAACACACGATTTCTCCTCATATACTAGGTATCTTCATTTATTAACTCAGCTTTAGTTTTTGTTCAGCTAGAAATCTTCCACTTTAAAGGTTTGTGAGAAAGATCTTGGATGGTTTTAGTAGTTTGACTTCCCCGAGTGTAATTACAGAGGCAATGACAAATACATTTTGGGGATGGAGACCAGAATTATGCCTGAATCCTGTAAGTGAAGCAGGATATTCACATTTGCGAATACTGAATCTTTGCAGTCTTTGTACTTTGGATGACTTGGCTGATGCTGGACTAGGACATGGTTTCTTTTATCTGAGAGCCTCCAGACATGAGCACTGCATATATAGAAAAGGGTTCAGGTATTAAATGTGGACATCTAGTCTTGATGTAGACATCCTAGCATCCATGCAGGGCTAGCAGATTTCACACAGAGCCTCTGGTAAACCTTTTGGAACCTCCATTGGAGAAGAGCCAGCAAACATCACTAAAGTGTTTGTTAAGTCACTGGAGTTGCTCCTCTAGGGTCAATATTAGGCTGTATGATTGTGTGAGTGGGTATATATTTCCTCTGAACTGGGCAATAGTTCCAGGTTGACTCTAGCTGTGGAATACCATTTCTCAGTTGGAGGAACCTTAAGAGAATCAAAGACCTCTATCACACCAATTCCCTTCTGACCAGAGATTCAGAGACTTTGCCTTGGAGGGAATGGAGAATGAGATAAATCTGTATAATACAAGCTGTGTGTTAAACTAGTTCAGGGATTCTACTGCTCTCTCCTTGAAATCAGCCTCAGGACTTGGTTTTCTCTGTAGACTGGTCAGGAAGAGCATTCCAATAGCTCCTGTTCTTTCAACTGGAAGATATCCTTCAGTAAAAATTAAATTGGGCAGGGTGGACATCCCAGAGTACCATGATTTACTTCTCAATCTTTCCTGCAAATACAGGTCATAAATATCAATACAGCATCTCCAACAAATCCACCAACTCATTAAAACAGAATAACAGGAAACATAGGTCACAGTACTGTGGTTACAATATCTGATATTTACCAAGACCATCTGCAAACTTTCATAACAGTGTGCAAATATGCAAAGGAACTTACCAGAAAAAGACTCTAGTACCAGAACAAAGGCTGCAGCCACTCTGAGCAATAATAGGAAATAAGTATTTTGCAAAACAGGTGCTGCTGAAGCTGCCTGTAAAAAACAGACCTTATTTTTTTTAATCTGCTCAAAATAAAAGCATTGCACAGATTGAAAGGAAGAAAAACACCCTAATTTGGAGAGAGGTGGATATGTAGCTCTTCAGAGAGCATAGTATTCATTATGAGAGAAGCAGAACAGCTTGATCAATTCCTCCTCTCCTTTTTCGAATCCATGTACTCCATGACAATAATGGTCCCTGGTTCAGCTGTATTTTAGATAGGGATCTACCATCAAGCTTTTTATCTGCTCCTGGAAGAACGGTGGGGAGAAGGGTTGAGGGAGTCAGAACATACATTAGACCATATTCTGCATAGCTGGGAAAAAGACAGTCTCATCAGGCTTTTCAAAGTCAGGGAAAAGCTGGGATAGATGAACTACAATTCAGAAGAAGGACCAGAGAATGAATCATTAGGCTTTGTGGTTTAGTTTTTTTCTGAGATCATACTAATAAAGAGGTACGGCTGTTTCTCTAAGGTTTTGACAACTGGCAACTGAATAGATGAAAAGTATTTATCTCAGTGATAGAACTAGGGTCTGCACTTGCATAAGACTTTGAGACAGTTTCTAAAATCAGCCCAAACTTCCCTCATGGGAAGAAATTAAAACTTCTTCATCTGGGAGCTAAGATGTTTTTAGTATTTCTACAATATTTATCAGTGTGGTATGTGAACAGGGATGAAGCAAATATTAATCTAAACTCTCAACCTACACGATAACACTTTGTCAGTTTGTAAATGAGAACTGAAACTCCAGTTCAAACTTGTGATTGTGAAGTCTAATGGAAAATTCAGCCAGAGGGTTGCTGAGAGCCACAAATCTTCATCTTGACTACAGTATGTCTTTAATGATATTTCAACTGTTCATCATACAGTACTGCAATGCCCATAACATTTTACTATTATGCATGAACAAAGACTTAGGAAAGTACCTTTTCACAGAATGACACTTCAAGAGCTGGACAAGATGAAATGTATTCTTATAGTATAAGTTTATAAAGCCAAATGTGCAAAAAAAGAGTTGAACCACAGGTAGTGCTTTGATATGTTTGGAAAAACCTAGTCTAACTGACTTGCTAGCAGATTTTGAGGCAAGAAAACAGAAATAAACCCCAGGTGTCTTGTATCAGCAGCCTTTAGTTCCCCAAGCCTCTCTTCTGCAGGGTAAAATCTAGTAAGAAAATCTACAGTACTGTCAGGTGGTGGAACATAATGAAACATTTGTTTGTTTCATCTTTCTTTCCCTGAATGCTACCATGTGCTTCTACTTTGCAGTGGCTTCCCTAGCTTCCTCCTATAGGAACACAATTAGCTAGACTGTTGTAAATATGGACACCCTTAAGACTCATTTATCCACTGTGCATCAGGACAGGTGGAGGAAGTGGGATTTTGAATGTCAGTGGTGGATTTGACCACACATTTGCAGAAAAGGCAGAATGCCCCTGGGCTGCTCAGCTCTCTCCAAACACATTATATGTGTAGCAGTGAAGCAAGAAGAGAGTGCTCTCTCCTCTGCCCATTATACACATTCCTGAATGCATCCAGGCCAAGATCCAAAAGGAAGTCCAGGCTGCAGAGTAGAGTCGAATGAGTTGTTATGGAGAGGAATGTCTAGGTTAGATATGGACATCTAGGGTGTGGATGCCCACCTGAGTATTATTTGAGATGCTCTAGGGATCCTGCCTGACCACTCTCTGTGTCTCCCACACAACATAACGTAAGTCTTATGTAGGTCCTGCATCATCTGCTGTGGCTGTCTTGGTTCGCAATAGGCATCCTAGCACAAGATCCCTATGATCAGGCAATTTCCCAATGGAATAAGAAAAAAACCTCCATACTTAATGATCTGTATATTAAGACTGAATATTTTTTCCTAGTGTTCTAGATTGACTGTACTCTCATCTAATGTCTCTTCTCCATTTTCAGATGTTACTCCATCTCCTTCAGTCTACAGGCTGATCTCTAAAGACGATGAGGATTTGGAAATGTGCCTGATCACAGACTACTCCCCTGAAAAGCTTACTCTTAACTCGGCTGAGAAGCAGACAAATGCTATTGTGGAGGTGACAACATCTGAAAACAAACAGGAAGCTAGTTACCTGTCAACCTACTGGGCCAAGAAAGATGAAATGCAGTGTGGTGCAAAACATGAGGGCTTTGGAGAACTGGAGGTCAAGGATCCTGAAAGTGGTAATGGCATTGTTGGATGCATGTACAGGGCTAGAGGTACTCTAGTGTCTGTGTTATTAGTATGTACAGGACTTGTTCACACCTCCCAGCCCTGCAAGCAATGCTGAATTATGCTCCCACACTCCAGAGGATTGTTTCCTTGTTGCCTCTGTTTTCCCAATATAAGAAGGACATGGTCTTGCTCAAGTAGGTCCAGAGGAAGCCACAAGGATGATCAGAGTGCTGGAGCATCTCCCCTATGAGGACAGGCTGAGACAGTTGGTGTTGTTCAACCAAGAGAAGAGAGGCTCCAGGGAGACCTTATAGTGGCCTTCCAGTGGTTAAAGAGGGCTACAGGAAAGGTGGGGAGGGACTTTTCACAAGGGCATGTAGTGATAGGAGCTTTAAACTGAAAGAGGGTAGATTTAGATTAGATATAAGGAAGAAATTCTTCCCTGTGCGGGTGGCAAGGCACTGGCACAGGGTGCCCTGAGAATCTGTGGCTGCCCCCTCCCTGGAAGGGTTCAAGGCCAGGTTGGACGGGGCTGGGAGCCCCCTGGGCTGGGGGAAGGGGACTCTGCCTGTGGCAGCAGGGTTGGAACTAAATGATCTTTAAGGTCCCTTTCAACCCAGACCATTCTATGTTTCTATGATTCTTTTGCCTTCTTCCTTGGTGGAAACAAGATTGAGGGACAGTAGACTGGTACAGTCACAGCAGAGAGATCTTAAAATCACACTGTAGGGGATATAAAGCTTGAAATTCTGTTGTCCAATGGGACACTAAAGCTTAATGAGATCATATGTTATGCTTGCCCTGAAAACAGCAAAAGTAAGTGTGTATGGGAGGGTTTACTGGCCAGAAATTCTAATGCAGGCCTCCTAAGTAGAGGAGATGTACTTCTGGAGAAGTACATTTCTGTTGTTAATTAAACTTATTGTTATTATCTGCAGGTGCCAGCACTGTCTGTGTTACAGGAATGTCTCTACACTTCAGGACAGGTGTGTACACAGCATTTTAGGAGTGATGCTTGTCCTGATTAAAGGAAATGTCTTTACAAGTTTTTGCTAATGTTCCCTGTTTGCAGAATTCCTGTTGTATCAAAAAGCACAGACTGGAAATTTGCAAATGGGCCCCACAGGCTTTAAACATCAAGTCTAAAAGTCATTGGGTTAATGTAGTCTTCCACATCTGATCTGGCAATTTTATGTGACCAGTGTAGCCAGTGCCTACATGCTCTTGCTAGGACTAGCCAAAAAAATACTCCCCATCACGTAACGATTTAAGGTACTGATATGAGTCAGTCTTACTGGATGTCTGTCTGCATTTCAGACTTCAGAGGAGTTGTTTTTATTTTCGGGTGCACAATCACCTAATGAACCAAAAGATAAGCAGGTGGTTTCTGCAGTGTGTCCTCAGAAGCAGGGTTGCACTAAAGATAACGGTGCATCTGAGCAAGCTTTGCTTTAGCTCATGGCAATGGTAGTATACCAGCCAGTGCTGGAGCCCAAGCAATTGCTGTTCCTGCTAGTTTAAAGGAGAGCCTGTCTCCACACTTGCCCTGTTTGCAGAATAGTTGTACTTTTGCAAACATGCAACCTTGCTGAAAAGAAACCAGTTAGCCAAATGTTTCCAACACAACACTTCTGAAAAATACCCATTAGTCAACCTGGCTGATTTGATCAGTCATTTCAGAGGGGTTTTCAAAGATAAATATAAAATGACTTTTGGATGACAGGTCCCTGCTTCACCAATATAGATCAATGTATTTTCAAATGAAAATGGCTTTGTAATTTAAGATTAATAGAAAATCCAAATAGATTTTTTGTTCTTTGAAAAAAATTTAACTTGTTTTCCCCCTGCCCATGTTAAAAAATTTTAGTGAGAGGAAGAAGGGACAACTCCAGCATCCTGAGTTCATCATACATTGTATTTAAAAGCAGCTAGATGGTTGGCAGACTTGTATATTGGATAATTGAGTGGTTACCAAATGAAAACCCAGCCCTTGAAACACCAACCGTAAGAAGTGAAAGCTTCTCAGTGAGACATTCCTGCTCACTGTCTTGTTAGCTATCCTACTAGATGACTAAAGCTCACGAAGTGGAACAGCTTCATTAAGAAGTGCTTTTAAGTCTTTCTGGAAGCAAGGATGTCTCAGTGCTGTCGTGACTTTCATTCTCTATTACTTTTACAGATGAAAACCTGAACATGCTGTCTTTATCACAGCTGGGCCTGAAAATAATTTTAATGAAAGGAATAATTTTTAATGTGCTGATGACAATGCTCATATGGAAAAAGAAGTGAGTATGCATGGGGGGCAGTAAGGCCTCTGACAGAAACCATCTGGATCAGTTCATTAGTTACCAATGTTCCTTCTCTCTGTAATAATTGTTTATGCAGTCTATACATACACCTTTTGTCTACCAACAGTAAAATCCCTCCACTCCTTTGGCTATATCACTGTTATCACCCACTCCTCAAGTCTATTTACATTTACTTATCCACATGCAAATTTAACTTTTTTCTTCTTTCTAGACATCTCTCCCTTCTATTTCTACATCCATCCCTTCTGTTGTCTGTTTTCATCCATCAGATTCATCCTCTGACCAGTCTCCAGCTGGGAAAGTTTGATGCTTATTGACTTTAAGACCTCAGACTTAATATATCAGTTTTGGCCCAGTGTCTCTTTCTCCTCTTTCTATTGCTTTCAGACCTATAGTTGTGTAGCTGCGACTGTATCCTAAATAATGATATAACATAACTTTATTTTTGCTACAGGAATGAAAGTAACCAGATGGTGCAGTCCTGAATTAAAAAAAAAATCTGCTGAGGAATCTTTACCAGAGCATCACATGCAAGAGGGAACACAGATATCACTTGCTGTTTCTGTATATTGTGCCAGCCTTTATAGTCTAAATTGCTTTACTTGCATTGTTATAAAGCTACTCAAAAATAAGCTTAACATTTTCAGCATTCTGCTCCCCCCAGATACCTGATTCATTCAGCATGACAATGCCTCTTTCTGCCTGAAGCATAGCTTGCTGTAACTATGAATTGCCAAACATCACTATTACTTACATTAAAATAACACACAATTTCTGCTTGGGCCAGTGTTGCTGAAGACTGCAAGCTAAATATCACTTGAGTGCAAATTTTTCATATTTGGGTAGCTTTCAAGTATGCACATCTTAAAGTGCACACCCACAGGCACCATTTCTGTTGCAAATGATACACTCTGAAAAGCAAAGAAAGACTTATTCAAGGGTGCTGTGCATCAAGTCCTGCTATCTTTTGCTAGATCACAGCAAGGTATGTCTGGGGTTTTTTTCCACAAAATGCTTCAAGGTCTCCCAGGAGTTCTGAATTCCATGAAATTCTCACTTCATTATCACAGAACAAAACAATGTTTAGTATTTTTTTAAAGTCTATCTGGCCTTAACGTTTTCTGAATTTAAACCAGTTTAGATTTGGTTTTGCATTTAGAAAAAATACAAACTACTTTTGTTGTTTGTTTTTTTTTTTTTTTGTTTAGTTATAACAACCTTAGTTTTCCCAATTTCTTTTTATAATCATTGCATAAAACTATACTGAAATATTTGCCTGTCCATGTGTCTACTCCTTGTATGTGCATGTATGTGAAATTCACATGATGCTAATTCTTGAATTGTACTGGCAACTACACTGATGTCTTGGCATTTCTTTAGGCCTTTGGCTGCTATTAAAAAATTCTTATCAAAAATAAGAAACGTGTTCATCTTTTATATCTTTTGTATACCTTGTTTTACCCTTCAGATGAGCTTTAGGAATGAGCCTGTCCTTTGTGGTGAAGGAGGGAAGGGCATCTGGACTCTCCCCCTCAGCCTGAGCTGACCAACTGGCTGAAGGAATAGCTACAAAGTCCCTTTCCAGGACACCCTTGCTGTGTCTGGGTGAGAATAGCATGTCTGGCTTGGAGGGAGGGGAACAGAAGAGAGCACTTCTCCTCCAAGAATAGACTCTGTGCTGTGAAGACAATGGTAAAATATGCCTTGGCCACAGTGAGAGGACTAGTAAGCAGTCAGGTTCTTGAAGGCAGATGTCTAGTGCTATGGGGAACACAGGAGCCTGAAGTGTCTTGCCTCTAAACATCCCCCACTCCCAAGTGTCACTGAAGAACAAAGTACCTCCTCTGCATTAACAACACCAACTGACCAGCCTGTGTCTCCAGGTTCAGTCTATCACCGGCAAGACTAGAAAGGAAATTTTCTCCTTTCAAGACATTGATTTCTCCATCTTCTTCTGAAGGACCAGAGATTCCTCTGGAAGGAGAAATGAGAAGGGTGTTCTGAAAGAAACACAGCCTCCTGCAAAGCTTGAACCTTGCTTGTACCTCACACCACTAGACAAACTGAGTGGCAGGGAAAGCCTCACCAGACTGGTGGGGGTGATTCCCCCTCATGAAATATTTCTCACCCTGCTGGACTCACAGCCATTGCAAGGAACTCTGATTTTGGAAAGGCTCATGCTTGAAATGCTCTTAGCCAAAAGCCCTGGTGCTTCATGTGGGAGAGGGTCCCTGTGTGAAGGCCATGCCAGTGTCCCTGTCACAGGATCTGACTCCATAGTGCTGAGCAGCAACACAACAGTCTCCCTGGTCTCCTGCCATGGTGCTGCCACCTGACCATTTAGCAGGTGGCCTGTCACAGAGTGACAGAGTTACTGGCCAAGGAACAACATTAAACTTCCCAGGTCTCTTACCCTGATTATTTTATAGTACAGATATTCAGGGACTTATTCTCTTGTCTCTCCCTTGACACAACAGTCATTTCTCTCCCATGGCTCTTTAAATGCTAGATTCCAGGCAGCTCTTGAAGCCTACATTTTGCTCATGATGAGGTCTGCCATGTCACAGGGAAACAGCTTGAAGAAGCTGCCTAATCCATATTTGAATTACAAAGCAAATCATTAAATTTCACAGATTTCCAACAGATTAACCTCATTCCAGATAACTTCAGGGACTGGAAGAAAAGTTTCCATGCGCATTTACCTTTAGCATCACTTTTTAGAACTAATGTCCTTCTTAAATTTTTTGTGTTGCACTTCAAACCCACTCCCAGCTGTATGGTCAAGGAGGAAAGATAGCATGCTGCCTCTGTTTCCACATCTCAGTCTTTTCGCTTCCAGGTTAAACGACCCCAGTGATAAGATTTGCTGAGTAAAGGGATGAGTGTACAGATAAAGTTAAATGTTTTGACTAAAGTGACTCTTAGAATGTGATCTGCAAAAATTTCTAGGTCTAGTTCAAAGATACTTTTGCATATTAGGCCTTCAATCTCCCACCATCACAATGTGGCCCCCCCATCCCCACTTTTTACTTTCTTGTTTATTTTGAGAAAGAAAAACCACAGTGCAAAGCAAAGGTGGGAAATAACACAGTAGGACAGGATATGGAAGGAGTCTTATGGCCCAGGTGGGGCAGGAAGAGGACGCACCACCAGTTCCATGACGCCACAGTCAAGATCTGGGTCACCTTTTGATGCTCCTCTATGCCCTACCACAGAAACCACTTCCTCTGGAAAGCAGAGCACAAAACAGGGGGTGGGGGGAGCAGGGCTGGTGTGGCACGTGGCAGGGAGGAGAAGCATGTGAAAAAGCACAGCAGACGTTAGACCACAAGCCAAAGACAAATGAGGTTAAGGCACCCTCCCTTCCTGCCCCCTCACCGCAGCCAGCTCTTGGGTCTGGGGGGAGTTGTTTTGGGTACAGCAGGAAAGATTGAGTTATACAGTGTAGGCAGGGGAGAAGGGGAGAAAATACACTATAAAATGTGGGGGGTGGCTGGGAGAAATCTTAGAAGTGTGTAAGATTTCTGAATTTGCTGATAGGCCTCTGCACCCTGTTATACAAGCAGTGAATCTGTACAGAAAAATCCTTGCACTTCTGACCCAAAAGAGAAATGAGGAAGATGGGGCAAGCCAGAAAGTCCTCTCACATTGACAGGGAAAGAGATGTTGCTGTGGTCCATCTCTAGCACTCTCCCCCCTATGCCAGCTCCTGCCCCCTAGTACTTACCTATGGGTAAAGATTAATTTGCATCTTTTCTAAGGGGTTTTGTTGGAGAAAACACCCTGCTCAACATTTGTCATATTTCATTAAACATGACCCTGTGCACAAAACAGCCTCTCTTCTTGCCCTCTCCTACAGTGTGAACAGGGACCCAAGAATATTCTCTGAGGAGCAGAGCTTGTCTACAGACTTGTTGAAGCTTATTCAGATGTGGGAGTAGCTCTAACAGGACCTGAATTTTAGTGCTGATTTTATGGCAACTAGAGACATTGCAAGGTAGTAAGGATCAGGGGGGAAAAAAAAAAAAAAAAAAAAAAAAAAAAGAAACCCCACAGTTTTTTCCGCAGGCTCCCATGCAGTTCTTAAAAGCGGCCACAAGAGGGTCCCAGCCTGGAGCTCTCCCTAACAGCCAAATCGTGGGAAGACTGAGTCACAGAGACCCACAGGGAGGCACTCGCAGCTTGTGAACAGAAGCTGCAACGGCAGAGGAGAGACCCCGAGCAATTCCTCCGTGAACGGGTTGGCTCTGTCTACCACGGCCTTGGCCCAGAAAGGGTCCTTCCTATGGGGAAGAAGAGCTCAGTGGCTCCTGTACCATCCCTGTGTGCTGTCAACTCCCCTGCCTGCTCCCCAGCAGTACAAAGCCAGTACTATTGTACACAAACTTAGCTTAATGATTAGGGCCAGAGGGGAGTGGTAGCATCACAGCTGGCATGAATTCTCTGTTCCTACCACAGACCCAGACAGCATCCTTTGAGACACTAAGGACCATGCTCCCTCACACCTCATTCTTCAGAGGCTGTATTAGGCAAGAGACTTAGGAGCCCCAGGTTTCACACTTTTACGGGTTTAATGGCTGCAGCACAGCTGGAAATGCTAAAAGGGCAAAGGTGGTGAACAGAAGTCATAATCCAATGCTATGGTTGAAGCTATCAGACCTCAAGTTTTATCTCCTGCACACCAGCAAACAAGCATTTTTGTCACATAGCCTCAATGTACATTTTACCTACCTAGTGTTTCACCTGCGGACCAAACTAGACAAGCGTGAAGCAGGATCAGTACAAAGATGGAGCCTCGTGCCTAAAGGTAAACCAGGTAAATTCTGCAGCCAAAGGTGTGGAGGGGCTAGATGGGGTTAATATCTTGTCCTGTGCCCATAATTGGATCACCACAGGGCTCTGATTTTCCACCAGGACAATTTGACCTCAATGCAGGAAGTTGGCTTGGGCTTGAGGAGGCAATGGCTAAAGGCCAAAGTCATTTCACAATGCTTTAGAGGGTGAAGGATCTTCAATGAGGTTAAGTCTGAGGGGTAATCTTGTCAATGGACTTGGAACAGCTCAACTGCAGCTCTGTCCAAAGCACTGACAGAGCTTGGCAGCCCCTTCAAACATCATTGGATTTACTGGCACATCAGTCTGAAGAAAAGCTAACATTGTGGTAGGTTATCACTACTAAACCTTAGTGAGCCTGTAAGTCCAGCTGGGACACATCCAGCTGTGCCGCACATGCCTTTGAATGTCTTTGAGGGATACAGGAGGATCCATGGGAAGGTACACCTGGGGATGTGCTGGAGGACACCCTCTGCTTCCTTCCATTCACAACCGCTACCCACAGCCTAACCTGAATTTTCCACAGCTTTGAAGCCTGGGGGCACATTGGCAACATACTCTCCGTAAGACAGAGGCAGGAAACATGGAGATAAAAGGGTAGATGACAACTGAGTTTCCATGACAATTTCTTTCTTCCTTCTCTTTGAAACTGGGGCACAGAAAAAAAGCCTGCTGGGTGGAAAGCGAGGGAGGGGGGGTAAAACCAGGGAGTCGTGCCTGAAAGGGAACTTGGGTGTCAGAAGCAGCTCTGTATTTGTCACCAATAGGGAAAAGACTGCAGTATTATAAAGGGTTTTATTGATGGAAAGGATTACAGTAACTGTAATGAGGCAGAAGACCCCTCCATAGGACTGTCTGTGGGGAAGAATCTTGAGCCCTGCATCCCCTTCCTCCACCAAAGAAGGTAATAGTCTGCTGGGGAAAAGCACTTCCCAATGCTAGGCTTTGGCATCAGAGCTCTAGAGCCATTCAAGACCTAGAAAGAGAGAAAGCCAACATGAGCAAAGGGAGAGGAAATACCCCACAAGCTCCAAGGATCTTGTGGCCCCTTGCAACAGTAACAACAAATCACATCCTCCACTTTCCAGCACAGAACCCTCCCTGACCTAAACTCCCTCCTCTCATCTGCTGAGATACTCCAGATTTGGGACCCCAGCCATATCACAGCCTCCAAATAGGACAACCCTCACAAATAAAGCCCAGGAGTTCCAGCTCCCAAAGCTCCTCTTGCAAAGAAAGGTATTTCTCTCAAAGAAGAGAAACACAGGTAGGTTTCTGTAACACTCCTAGTTAAAGTGCTTATTAAATTATAAAAACTGAAAAATACATGCAGGAAACCAGAAAGCTGTAAATTGTAACCCTGTATGAACCTAGAGGACAACAGCTTAACTGCACTCGGCCAAAATGAATCTGGGAGCTGGATTCACTCTTTCTAATTGTCTCCCAACTCTACAAAAGTACTGATGTGAGCTATAATTGCCCCTTTTGTGACCCCACAGATCAGTACCTTACAGTCTCTTCTAGAGTTCAGCCAACAAAATTGATGACGACAAGATGGAGGATGGTGTTGGCAAAAAGGAAATCGGCAAATGCTCGCTCCGGTGAAATGCCTTGGAACTCGCTTTTGTTCTGGGGGTTGATCTGGATCCGGAGGCAAACTGCATGGCAGAGAAAGAATGAGAGATTAGTGATCACAAAAGGAAGTCACAGTGGGAAGTATGGTCATCCTGGGGCAGCCCATCCCAGTCTGAGTCACTGTTCCACCAGGGTATCACAAGAAAACGTAACTGTTTTTATTATGAGCAGGACACTGGCAGGGGATTTGCACAGTGCTTTTATGCAATCAGCTCTCCCATAGCACTACACTGTCAGCAGTGGCCAAGTGATACCTGAAAAGAACAGACTTATAACAGAATGGCACTCACACAGAAATGGGGATATTTCTATGTCCTCTGTTGCATGTGCTGGGGAGGACCGCACAGCAACAAGGTCATTTTGTGGGGTATTAAGGGAGAGCAACAACCTGACGCAGTCATTGCTAGAGTTTGGGTTTCACCCTCCCCGCTACCAAAAAACCCCTGCCACTCACTGAAACCCAGGGCACTGCTGAAGAACACCAGTATGAGATAGCAAAAGGGAAGGCTCCTTGACTGCCAGGGAGAAGCAAGGATGCGGTAGGGCTGATAAGGAGCTGGGTTCTGTGGTGTATATGGGCAGGACCCCTGCAAGTTCACAACCAGACTGGGCTGCCTGGGGCAGGAACCCAGGTGTTTCTGGGACAACTGGGTGATATGGGGCAAAGGAGGGGGTGCTGGAGGATGCTATGGGGGCTCCCTGGCTGCCCATGTAGGTTTGAGGGCTGCTGTGGGGGGCTCCCTTGGGCTGCTCGGGGAAAACCTGTGGCTAAGGAAACCCTGCGGTCACTACAAGAGATGCAAGCATTTCTAAGGCAACTCTCTGATGGCCGGCGGCCTCTGGGCGTTACTGGGGGCTCCGATGTCGCGGGGAGAGGCTCGGGCTTTGCTACGGAGAGTGCGAGGTTGCGCAGGGGATTCTCAGGGAACACCGCGCGGAGCCGGGACGGGAGTGGCAGGGCACTGACCGCCGAGGATGAAGCTGCCGACGGCGGAGATGAAGCCGCTGAGGAAGGAGTTGAAGGGGAAGGTGCCGACGCCCAGGCAGTAGCCGAACTGGAGCGCCCCAGTCAGCAGCACGTAAAGAAGGTAGGCGTCCAGCACCTTGAGGCGGCTCGGCGTGCCGCTGCCGTACTCCGACAGGAAGCGCCGCACCACCGAGCCCACCGAGCCCGCGCCCGACATGTTCCTCAAGCTGAGGTGGCCGGACACGGCCCCGCCCCGCGCTTCCGGGGCACCGCGGGACAGCACGCAGGCGCAATGCGCCGGGTCAACGGAGGCTGCGCAGGCGCGGTTCCCTTGCCTGCAAAAGGGCGGAACGGGAAGGCGCCGTCGGCCGCAGTGCGCATGCGTGAGATGGGAGGGGGGGGGGGGGGGGGGGGAGAGAGGAGAGGCGGAATGTGTTGTCGGTTGGCGCATGCACCCAAGGCCTTACTGAGTCCGCGCCCCCAAACTTTCCAGAAGTCAATGAAAACTAAACGGCGGCTGTTGCTAGGCAGATTAGAGCGACGGTACCTTCCAAAAGCCAATGAGAAGCAAGCGGCCGCTGTTGCTAGGCGGATTAGAGCGACGTTGCTTTCCAAAAGCCAATGAGAAGCAAGCGGCGGCTGTTGCTAGGCAGATTAGAGCGGCGGTACCTTCCAAAAGCCAATGAGAAAAAAGCGGCCGCTGTTGCTAGGCGGATTAGAGCGACGTTGCTTTCCAAAAGCCAATGAGAAGCAAGCGGCGGCTGTTGCTAGGCAGATTAGAGCGATGTTGCTTTCCAAAAGCCAATGAGAAGCAAGCGGCGGCTGTTGCTAGGCTGATTAGAGCGACGGTACCTTCCAAAAGCCAATGAGAAGCAAGTGGCCGCTGTTGCTAGGCGGAATAGAGGGCGGCTCCGTGAGGCCGCGCGGCCGCCCCTCGGTAGCCGCCGCCATCCCGACCGTGTGGCAGCGTCCCCGCCCTCGTCCCCCGCCGTGCCCCAGCCCGGGGCCCCCGCGGGCCGAGAGTGGGTCTCGCCATCCAGGGGCAGTGCTCGCCCCGCAGAGCCCTGTGGGGCTCCGGTCCCCCGCGGTGCGGCTGGGTGCGGGGAGCTGGTGGCGTGTGCGGGTGTTGGGTGCCGTGCTGGCTATGGTGGGGCTGGCTGCTGGCGGCAGGGCCTGGCCCAGGGGGTCGCCGGGAGATGTGGGGCCAGCCCGCCCGAAAAGGGCCCGTTTGGGGAAAACCAGCGGTGCGGGGAACAGCCGATCCTGCGGGGAGATGCTCTGGCCTGAGGCGGCCGCCACCGAGTGGGAGGGGAGGAGCTCGAGGTGCGAGTGTGTACATTTGTGTTCGCAGACTGTTTCACAGAAAGACTCCAGATTCTGACAGGAGGGTAGTGGAAGCCTGACTTTTGTGACCCCCCCCTTCTCAGAGCTGTGGAAGGGCAAACCGTTGTTTTCTTTGCTTTTGATTCCTCGGTGAGCCTGAAGTGAGAGTAAAATGACTACTTCTTTTTTTTTTTTTTTGGGGGGGGGGGGGGGGGGGGGAATCGGGGAAGACTTTTCAAGGGACAGAAGCAGAGCTTTTCCTTTTCTACCGAAATCTTCCTCTATTCAAATCATTCGGGCCTTCCAGTATTTCCCGAACCAGGGATGTTCTTGATGTGGACAGCTGATACTCCTGAACAGGCTCTGAAAAGAAAGTGGGGCATCTTCCTGAAGAGGGAAGATATGTGAAAAATTACAGATTGTCAGTAGTGGCAAGGTCTGTTTACAGGACTGCCTAATGGAATATTGAGACTGTTGAGACTGAGGCTATTGAGACTGAATTCTCAGCTTCATTTCTATCACCTGCCCGCTGGTATAAGTGATGTTTGTGTATGACTTGAACTATATTGATGGAGAGGAACTAGCACCTGCGGGTTGAGACATCCCGTTTGACATGCTGTTTGTTTGATAAGATTGTTTGTAAAAGCATGCTCTTTGTTTGTTAAGACATGCCGATGATTTGTTGTAACATGCCCTTTGTTAAGATATGCCTATCGTCTGATAATACAGGAGTTGCTGGGGAGGGAGGGGCTGGTTCTGTGTGTCGGTCGGGTGCCAAGGGCCCAGAGGGCTGGTGCCAGAGTTGTAGATGGGGAAACCTGGAGCCAGGGGCTAGGAGAGCATGCACCAGAGATAAAAGTTCATAGAGAAGAGAGAGTCTTACATCATCCTTGAGACCCCCGCCCACGACCACCACGAAGAACTGCGCAGGTGCGAAGAGAAGAGACAAAGGCAGAGCATACGGAAATGATTTCTCAGAAAGTCTATGAATATATATAAGCATCTTATGAATATGTATCATTTGGGGCATAAAGGGAGTAGCCCCAGGTCATATGGGTGTGCGTGTTTGTGGTGGAGGATCTCCCACGCACCTGGTACCGAATAAACATACCTACTTTATAACCTTAAAGGTTGTGGAGTCTTTATTCCGTGAGTCAATATCATGATATCAAGCCTGTAGCCTGAATCTTTGGAGACCTTGTCCCTTCTAACTTGTGTTCTTGCTCCCATGGATGTTTTCTTCTTACTCATGCTTGGAATATAAATATGCCCAAGAAACAATACTTGTGTTTCTGTGGTAGGGAATGCACCTATCTAGGGGCTGGACAAGCAAAGTGGGTACACATTCCCTTCTTTGCTTTCAATTTGTGCAGAGAGTTTCCCCTTTGAAGTCTGTATCTGGTATGTTTACTGGTGCCCCACTGTCTGATCGTGCCTCCTGAAGGAGCCTCATCCTGTAGAATAGACCTTTTACATTTCTGAGCTCAGTTTCCTTGGCTACATGTTTCCATGTACATCTTGGCACTCTTGGGAAACTTTTCCATCATGGTCTTGGTGAGAAGCCAGCCACAACTTCATACCCCCATGTACTTTTTCCTTTGCAACCTCTCCTTCCTGGAGATCTGGTACACCACAGCTTGTGTCCCCAAAGCTCTGACAGTCCTCCTGGGTGGAAACTCAACCATTTCCTTTGACAATTGCCTTCTACAGATTGTCGTGGTTTGAGCCTGGTCAGCAGCCAACCACCACCCAGCCACTCTCTCTCCCTTCTCTTCTGGCAATAAGAGGGGACAGAGAGCCAGGCTTGGGGTTCGAGATAGGACTGGGATGGGGAAAAAATCACCCTTTATGGTCATGAGCAAAAGGCAGACTCATTAGAGGAAGAAAAAAAGAACATACATTTATTACAGACACTAACAATGCCTAACAGAGTAGGACAGTGAGAAGCATTGCCACATCTTGAGAACACCTTCCCCCCTGTTAGCGGTCGCAATCGCGAAAGAACTTATCTACACACAGCAGATAAGCAGGCACTTCTTTATTCCAGCACTGGAGAACACGGGGGATAACTCCGCCAAAGACGTGTTCGCTGACAGGTACAAAGCACAGCATATTTATACACTTTTTCAGCAGAGTCATAGTTACATAACATCAACAAAATTCATAAAGTTTAAGTTGACCTTAATAATGATTGGCTTTCAGTTACCTCACCTTACCTATATTCCTATTTTACATAAATCATTGGTCATCTTTACTGATTGATTTAAATAGAATGGGGGGAGGGCAATGATTAGCATATTCATGTTATTTCCTGGAAATTATTATCATATGTAAATGTCTCTAACGCATGTGTGGTTATACTGGACAGGGGTCCTCTGGTGGTCGTCGATAGTCTTCATCACTGTGTCGGCTGATTGAACTCCATCCTTGCGCATGCTCACTCCATCTTTGGCTAATGCTCATTTCTCCTTTGGCCGATCTTTCCAACCAAAAACAGTTTCTTCTGGTACCTATTGTTTCAAGTCAAGATCCATAACCAGTACCTATTGTGTTAATTCAGAGTCCATAACGATTGTTATAGTGTTCAAGGCACACAGCATACTAGTTGCTTAATCCTAAGGGCCTCAGTGTACTTTATATTCTCCTAGCTACTGTAGCTTCATGTTAAATCAAAATCATACTTTTAAACTAAAAATAATATCCTAGCATTCAAACTGTTTTATTAAGGTAACTGCAACACCCCCACCCCTCCCTTCTTTCCGGGCTCAGCTCTGCTCCCGATATCTCTACCTCCTCCCCTTCAGCGGAGCAGGGGCAGGGAATGGGGGGTGCAGTCAGTGCTGCTACTTCTTCCATCTTCGGTGGGGGGAGCTTCTGGAACTTCTTCCCCCTGCTCCATCGTGGTCCCCCTCTCACAGCAGACAGTCCTCCACAAACTTTCCCCAACATGAGTTCCTCCCACGGGCTGCAGCGTTCCCCACACTGCTCCATCATGGGTCACTAACTTCCTCCGACTGGATTCCCTCCCACGGCTGCAGCCCTTCCCGAGCTGCTCCAGCGTGGTACACCCCCGCATGCTGCAGTCTTCCCAGCGCTGAATTACAGCAACAGGTCTACCTTTTCCCACAAGACCCTGGCCTTATTCGGGCACAGCACTTTGATCTACCAGGCAAAAACCACAGGCCATAAATCAATGTCTGCTTCACCGTAGATCTTCATGGGTGGCAGGGGGGGCCGCCCTGCCATCTCACCACAGGATACAGGGGGTCTCTGCTCTGGAACAGCTCCCCCCTCCTTTCTTCCTCCGTTCCTCCACTGACCTTGGTGTTCACGCAGCTGCTGCAACTCTCCCTCCCAAGTCCGACTCCTCCACACCACGTCCCTTCTTAAATACGTTATCGCAGAGGCGCAGCTGATTAGCTCAGTTTCCAAACAGAAGTGGAGCTGACTTGGAGCTGGGGGAGCTTCGAGAAGCTTCTCACAGGGGGCCGCCCCTATAACCCCCTCCCCTGCCACCAAAAAAAACACCACTCACTCAACCCAGGACATAATTTTGCTAGGACACAGTCTGGAAGGCTACCTGTCTTTCTCCTGCAGCTTCTGGTATCCTGATGTGTGAAAGCCTCACCAGTTGTGGAGGAAATTGGGATGTGAGCGTGCATATTGCCCCAGAGTTTCTCTTCAGTGCCCATAAGGGGACTGGGACCTTTTTGCATTGGTCATTGCCCATTTTTGTAACATCTTTGGGAATACTTTTTTGTCTGTGTCCCCTCTCTTGTCCATCACAGGAGCAAAGGCATGTGTGGGAATGGATTCCACAGCCATGTGCCTTGCTTCTTCCCCCCAAATTGCTGCTCTTGTGTAGGTTCTCTGCATATTCACATCTATGGAGAAACATCAGAAACTGTAGAGTTTCCTCTTCACCTTGCCAAACCCAGACAGCTCTGTGACACC